GCATCGCTGGTAATATTACTTTCATAAGTGGCTTCAAGGTAGGAATGCAAGCACATACGATTCCGACATTGACCTCAACAGCCGACCACATAAACGCAAGCGAGGCATTGTAGGCAAAATCGTCTCCTTCGCCGAGCTGCGAGTGAGCTAAAACAGATGTTTGAAAGTCATTCGAGGCTTGCTGTAGATAATAGATTCTGACAACGTCGACGATTGTAACGAAAATTCCCAAGGAGAAAGTGAAAACCAAAATCGCCTTTTGCCTTTGGGGAAGGTTCATTCCGGTAAGAACAGGAATCGGTAGAACCAATATGGCTAAATCTGTGATGATATTCACAGGAGCTGATGCCAGATAGATGGTGATGATCGATAGACATTTCGCATCCGTATCTGTCATCCACGCACCAGAAACAGGGCTACACTGAAATGCGTTGACAAAAGTAAGGACGATGCCATCTAAAACAGTAACGAGTAGGGTGATATATGAAGCCCACCTCAGGAGCTTTTGAGTATTTCGGCTTAAACGTAAATAAAAAATGAGAATTGAGGTCTTTGTCGCCATCAAACATGGATTCTGTAATAGGAGTCAGAAATTGCGCACTTAGTCCATGATCCAACAACCATAACTCACATAAAGTACTGTAAATGCATATTCCGCCTTTTTGAGGTGAGGGCCCCATTCTGCCTTGATGTCAGGATCGGGCTTTCCCAGGCCTTTAGTTGTTGCATAATCAATCGAGAAAGTTAACCCAAATGCAAAGAACTGTCACAAGGAATTATAACTGTTAGTAAATCCATCCATTCAACATGCTATTCCCCTCAGAAGAAATCTTATCTTACCCAAGAGAGTATGATAAACCAGTCATCCTGAGTTCTCTTTCTCAAAATTCCGAATCTAGAAACCAGTCTCGCTACAACAAATATGCTCGTAATAATAAAGGTAATGGTAGTGACCCAAAAAACCAGCTCACTGCGCGATTGTACGGGCTCTATTGATGTTGACATTGTATGTTTATGTATTTCGTCTCAAATCTATTCGTCTCGAGTTCGATTCCTAAGTCATTTTCCACTCCTAAGTCGAATGTAACGATATCCGTATTTCCATCCTCTGATGTACCCAAATAATATTGAAGTACGACTTTTCCGATCGGGGAGAGCTGCGCGCAATTGTATTCCCAATGAGGCGAGCAAACACAATTTGTGATGTATCCCCCCTCCTGCGATCCAATCTCTGCCTCCAATTCAACTCGCTGATTCGTATTCGTCAATGTCGAATTTTCGTTTTTCGATGGGATTACTTTTCGTGCGTGCCAACCAGCTTTCGAGATCGTATATGGCGCAAATGGTCCTACGCTATGATCGTTGTGAGTGTGTCGGAGGACAAGTAATGATGATTTGTTTTATTGTTGAATTATTTTCGGTGTAGATGTATATCGAAGTTGATGCGATAGGTGAATTGAGCTGCGGAAAGTCTGGACAGCAGGTCAAGTATAGACGATCATGACCTACCTACTCCGATCCTCTTTTCCCGATTCCCGGTTCCCAAGTGCCCACTCGCACGTTTGTGGGCATTTGCTAGTTAGTTCGAGGAGGTCGTTTTACCCCGGTATTTCCCACATCAAGGCTTTGGGATTTAACGTTATTAGCAGATTGGCAAAACAATAAGTTTGGATTGGAACCCAATCAACCATTCAGAACACAGCAAGACCTTGAATAGCCAAATTCCAGTAGTTCGGACGCCATTGCCGATTCGTTAACTTTATGGGGCGAAGCTTGGGAAATGAAGAGATTTTTGTTAAAGCCTTCTCACTTACAAGAGTCTTATGGATTGGATCATCTCCAATGAAAATTCGACAAACTTACATGTGAGCAAGTAAAAAGCAGCATCAACAAAGATTAAATATAAACCAAACCTTATTTGTCATTAGTTTATCTATAATTACCACTTGGTCGCGTAGTAGTAATGATAAACTGTTCACCATTAAGAGGTCGTGAATCGCGAAAAGATGCCCAGGTGATGGGAGGGGAATTTTCGGTCTTCAAAGAGAGTGACGATAGAATTGAAAAAAAGTTGATGAGTTTTGTGAGAAGTGACGTAAATGAATAAACTTCGATCCCTCGGTTAAGGCAAGTTATATGACCATTTCAAGATTAGTTTTCTATGGCTGCTTTTAGATCATGAATACCAGGTATACATCGTACGTCTTACACCGAGCACCATCTCATCTATTCGCCTTCTCCGATATTTCATGAACTTTGGCGTGCCTTGAATCTTTTATCCCCGATTCTCTCGGTGTCAACATGATATAAAATTGTGACACGGTTGAAGATCAAGAATCAAAAGAAATTTCCTGATTATCAAACACAATCTTTCTCGCTTGCACAGTATTGTCCACCTGGGTGTATGATAATCCCTTTCCTTCCCAAAGCGGTAACATGGAGATTTCAAGCAGGTGTCAAGCAAGCAGATGCCAGTTGCACATTGTTCCTGAGTCAATAATTGCCAAGGAAGTTTGATGTGTAGGGCAGGTATAGTGTACGATTATTCGATGAGACTCACGAGAGCATAGAACACAATCTCGCAATACCCTACCGCTAAACTACCGATACTTCGCAAATATACGTAAGTAGATTTCCAAATAGTCTTCACAAGGCTTTGATCAATCGACATTAGATCTCTGAGATATTAACATAATTCTCATGTAAACCCTTTTTTCATTTAAACTCTTGAATGAATTGATCAATTTCGCAACTTGAGACGATAATACTTGCTCATATTGTTTGAAGTAATGCTGTGTGTGTACTTTGTAGGCTTAGCCATGTTCTCGAAACTTAAATTCCATCGAGTAAGGATAGCTTGATTACACCATAATTCACCATACTTCACTTTACTTCACTTCACTCCGTTCAATCGTATCATAACCCTTTCCAATAATCTTCTCCTTTAGTATCACATCTCCAAATACCCCTATTTCGTCTTCCGAGCCTATCAAAATCAACGATCTCTGATGAAACGTTTCTTCCTTCAATGCGAATACTAACATGACTCAAAAGACAGATGGATTCCATAGGTGATAACAAGTATTTACGTCCAGATTTTACAGTCACCATGTACGAAATGCTAACCTCTGAGTTAACCTTTTACAAAATGAACTGAATTTAGGTACTGAATATATGGGGAAGTGCCAAAGCATCAAACTCCCTAAACTCCCTACCTATCAAGTTCGATGGCTTAGCTAATGAACTCAATGCTATCGGCATTCTCCTCGTCATAACTTCCGCGATTTGAAAATCAACACACGAAGATCCGCTGTACATCCACTCGGGGTCGTTATTCAATTCGGACTAGATTCTTGTCTTTCGTATCATGTACCTACCTAGAACTATGTGTTTTCTCGCAAGCTTCACCCATAATGAGACAATCCTCCTAACCTTACAAAATAAAGTAAGATGCTAAGATCTGACAATGTAGGTACTAAGTAGGTCACGCACCTCCCGGTCGAATCCCCGCGCCGTCTTGCCCCCAAGTTTGATCTAATCTACTACCGGTACCTAGTTTTTACATTCTACCCATCGCCCCCCGATAACGCTCATAACGCGGGGTAAATCTGTCAATCAAAAAATCTATTCGCTTCCTCTTGAGTCTAAAATCCTGATGCTCCAAACGCCCCTCTCCCTCTGTCAAATCACGCACCGTGTTTTCTCTTTTGGAAAAAAACAAACTACTAAAAGAGGGAACTCCGTCGGTCCGATTCCCACCTTTTCTTTCAAAAGAACCCTAAAGTTACAGCACGTGCTCACCTCAGGCTAACATCCACACTAAATATCCCCAGCATTTCACTTTGCAGCCCCCATTTTGTGGGGACGGCTACATACATCCACTATGTCCACTGCAGTCAAAAGTGAAAGTGTAAAATGCACACGTAGCTAACTCGTATGGGTAATTAGGTGGACAATTTGCAAAAGCATATCGGAAGTGGGATGAATGTTCGTATTTTAGTGGAGTTCCGGGTTGCATGGAGGGGCAATTTGTTTTTCCGAACTGGAAAGTTTGGGACGGGAGGATGGTCACTGGTGAGGCTCTTGGGCATCTATTGTACGTACTCTTTATGAAGAACTCGAATCATGTTTTCCGGAAAGTCAATCGATCGTACTGTGCGGATCGATTCATTCACTCCGTACAGGTTGTAATTGAGAATCGACGGGTGTCGCAGGCGAGGGAGGCTCGGAGGTTAGTACTTCGCACGGTCGAACATTTCATGAATTAAATCTTGGACATACATGAGAAATGTTTTCTTCGCAGATTTGTTGCATAATTCATAAGTTCAAACTAGGTAGTGATTGATAGGTTACATCTACCAAGGAAAAGCAAGGAGCAACCGTGTTTCGAAGCGTCCAAAAAAGGGCAATACTTCCAGGTTCTCAGTCAAAAATACCACTCAAGATGAACTCGGTGCTTGGAAGATATATTTATATTAAACATCGCTTTTGCACCTAGACTGTGATGTGATGGCGAGTATGGAGATCTCCTCCGCCTCCAATTTTGCTTACTAGATATAAAAGATTTCCATCGTGAGATATCGCCGTAATGTAACCTACACCCAGAAACTCCCCATCTCATTCCCCTGGTTGCACCTGCACCCGTTTAACCTTCATATGCCCCTCAATGGTACTGTGTGTATCCGCACGCAAATTCATTCTACTCAAACTCCGGTACTCTCAATCGCAATGCAATTCTTTCAATTCATTGTACATTCTTTCACTTTCGAGCCTCTTTTCCATCATCGTAAATGTCTTAATTCCTTTCTCTTGTCGTCTCTCCTTGGCTCGTTTAAGATTTCCTCCTCCTGCTAGTCATCTTCATGATTTCGTACCAGATTAATTCAACCAAACAAGTATGATTTGACAAAGTACCAATTCTTCAACCACGTGAGATGATTTATACATGTCTTGAAAAATGACCACGGGCGTGCATAATGTATCGTGTGCCAGGTATATTTTCAACCCTGTCCACCACCCAAGAAAAAGTCCAGTTCGCTTGGTCCACCTCTTTGTTGTTCATTTTCTGCAAGTTGTTCCAACAAGCTTAGGAAAGGATCTTTCTCCTCTCCACTTGTTCCTGTACTCCCATTATTTGACCTTCCTCCTGGTGTCATACCTTCCTCCCCCATCATACCACCACTTGTTCCGCCCATTCCTGCGAATGAAAAATTTCCACTATTACCCAGATGTGACATACCAAACATTGGATCAAAATCTGATTCTTGCCCGTGATTCAAAGAGAGCGATGGAGAAAAAGTATATGGTTGCGATTGATTCTGACTAGGTGGCGAAAAGGGTATTTGTGGAAGTGTAGTCATTGAACTTCCTTGATTGGAATAAGATGTCGGATCATGACCGAGTAAACCATTCTGTGGTAGTGGTAATTGTTCAACCGATCTCCCATTCGGTGACATTAGAGGTCTTTCTTTTAGACTATTGGTAAGAGCACGTTTTCGTGCAGATGATGAAGATTTGCGTTTAGAAATAACAGAAGTTGAATCATTCGAGCCATTCGAGCCCGTTCTCCCATTAATAGAACCATTCCTATTTGATTGTGTCGGCGCATAAAGGTCATGACCTTGATATGCTTCAGGATTCGGTGTCACCACATCCGCAAAACTGATATGAGCCCCATCAAAATATTGGCCCAAATCACTATACCTATCGAAAAAGTCTTCCAAGTGAAAGACTGGACTAAAGCGCATCGGATTACTTCCAAGACTTTTCACTAGATCGGAATGGCATCCATAGATAGTTTGTAAGGTTTCTCGTTGATGCTGAACTGAGGACCATGCATATCGAAGCTCGGAAAGTTGTTGCATTTCTCTGGAAAGAAAATCGGCGGAAGCGGAAAATACTTCACCTTCACGGCCGCCTTTGTAGTGCGTCCCGTGAACATGGACAGTACCAGCGGTACAAATACAATATCCGACGAATGCGGGCCATTCTATCGATGCGGATTGTTTTCCGAGCTCCACCAATTCGGCGATTGCGTTTGCGTGAAGAAAACAAAGATTTGTGGCTTCAATTTGCCAAGATTGATGTTGACCGGTTCCAGCTAACTCAGCGAGGTCGATAGGAAGAAAAGGTCGATATATCAGGCAATGTATGAGATGATAAATAAGTTTGCTGAGGACGAGAGTTGTACTGTCCGGTTGCCCAAAAAGTGTATCAACAGATGTAAAGACATCCTGTGTACCGCCTGCCCAAATATCCAAGTCTTGGCGAATTTTCGAGAGATTCGATAATGAGTGCCATGGGAAATGAGAGTCGCCTGTTTTGATAGCATGATAGTCAGTATTCGTACAATAATGAATTGTCGAACAAAAATGATTGTTGCGAAACTTGCCTTTTACACCGCCAGCTGCGAGATAGCGGTTAGTAATTCCTAATATTCTCACAATATCTATGAGCATTCCAGTGCTTCCTTGGCTCTTCTTTCCGTTGCCGAAATGAAGATTTGAACCACTTTGGAAAAACTCTCCTTCGACGGGAAGAGCGGCTGGATTGGGTGACCAAGATGGTAATCGCAACACAATAGATTTATCGGCAATTAATGATGGTCGTTTTGATCCGCATGCTGTGAATCTATCTATCAAATAGCATGTCCAAAACAATCTTCTTCGTAATTCTCTCTCGACAGGACTAATTCGTAGGTTCTGATCCAGTTCGCGATGGAGTTCTAGCGCAACAGCCATTCCAACGGCGTTCGCTATGTACAGTTAGCGAGTTGTTCAGTGGTTGAAATTTATTGAAGATGTACCGAGCATCATGTATGCCTTCTTCCCTCTTCCAGATGCTGTATAAGAAATACCAAGAAGTAATAGAGCCTGTAAATTATCGATAGATGGTTCGTCGAAGTCTACTTCCGTCCTTGCTCGATGAGCATAATCTTCACTTAATCTCACTGCGGCAAAATAGCCATTTGGATGGGAAGTATATCTTGAAGAAAAGTCAGTCAATCGTCATATGTAAACCAATAATTTTAACATACCTTGCGCTAACAGCGTAAATTGCATAAAGTAGATATGTTGGAATTTGGTTTGACTGAATTCGTTGTCTGATAGAAGTTTCGTCAAGTATATGATAAGATTTCCCATGGCATCGAACAAAGTAAGTATCCAAAAGGACATCTTGTTGGACTGATGGAGAGGGTTCGCTGAGAATATGTCAATTGAAAAGGAAATTGTAAATTATGATAGGATTTAGATACCTTATGGGTGTTGGAGAATATACAGCTGATTCATCTGCAATATTTGAAATGGTTGTCTCCAAATGAGGTCGTTTTGGTTTTGTATCTTCGTTAGGACTTTCCGCTTCACCCCCACCAGAACCAGAAGCACTCCCGTCATTGTTTGGAGAATTGGATTTTTTCTCATCTCTCAATTTTCGTTCCAATCCATCGACTCTCTTTAATAAAGCTTCCAATACATCCGTCTTGGGTCCACGTTTCTTGGGGACAGCATCTGTTGGGAGAGAGAAAAGTTAGGATTAAGTGTTTCGAATTTCTTGAATGATATAAACCCCACCATAAATACAAGGGCATTGGAAGACTTGACAAGCTTCGCAAGTCGGTCGCAACCGATTGCACTTTATCTGGAAAAACTTTTAGTATCTCGGAAGAATTGCGCCTGAAGCTGAAGCACGGTATGACCAACCTTCCTCTTTCTACAAGATTTACAATTCATTGATTCTCGTGGTTCGTTGCTCATACGTCGTGCTGGTAATCGTTCAATTCCAACTTGCGCTGGCCTTCCAGACATGGTATCGAAAGGAAATTCCAAGACGACAAGAAAAGGCGAAAGAAGAAATTATTGTTGTACAGTAATAATAAGATTCGTCACATCATAAAGATTGGTCGAGACGCAATGCACAAAACATTACGAGTGTGGTGGTTTTGGGGGGGGGGAAGTATGCAAATAATTTCCGATTCAGACTTGGTCAAATGGATGATGTATTTATGTATGTACGTCGTATCCTCTTCGGTTTTTGGTTAGGTATTGGATGTTCGACGAATTCTCGGGTCGATGGGAGCTTCCCAAAGTAATGGTAACCGTTATTCGTTCGCCAATTGCAGATGTGATCCAATTACAGAGATGATCGGATAGTCATCGACCGAAATACTGCTCTCAGGGATATATTCCAGGCTATTTTCGTTGATCAGTTGACAAATTGACGGTTGACGGTTGATGGTTGATATATTATGGTGTTAAGTTTGGTGAGAGTTTGCATTCAAGTATCGAGCAGAGGGAAAAGAAAGTATATAATTGGAATTAGACGTGGCGGTTCGTGGTAATGTGTAATGGGCTAGGATTAGAAGTATGTGAGATGATTGGTATCGGTGAGTAAGAAAAGACAGAGCTCAAAAGTACGGGAGCATGAGATGAGGGTTGTATGTTAAGGGTTAAGAACGAATGCGCCGTCCCACCATGTCCTTGTCATAAGAGGAAGATGGGGGTGTGATCACTTGTTTAGAGATGCAGAAATATCGTACCTGGTAAGAAAGTAAAAAGATTCTCGAAGGAAAGCGAGGCACGACAGCAGTTTAAAAAAAAGACAGGGGGATATTCTGGATACTTTGGTAGGGAAGATTGCGGGGAGGTTGAAGCTAGAGAGAGAGAGAAAGCTGTTACGATCTAGGTATGTATGCATCCTCAGGGATTGTTAGTGCATTGTTGCAAATGAGACCTAGGTGGTATTACATTGTCAAAAGATTTTTGGTAGAGGTAGTAGAGGAGGTAGTGTCAATGATGATGATGGTGGTGGTGGTCATGATCATGATCTAATCCTTCATTTTGAATGTGCCGTTCTTCTATTCTCCCAAAGTTCCATCCATTCGTGCAGATATTCATCAAATAGTAAAATATGAAGGATAAATTCCTTTAATGCATGATTGGACTCGATCCGGAATTCGGGTGAAAGTAAAAGTAAAAGATGCGATGAGAACGAAGGATAATTGTCGGGTACCTGAAAGTTTACTTACTCTGTAGATACTAGATACTAGACACCAAGATGATCATGAGTCTATCGAACTTTATGGCAAAGACGTGCAAAATGCAGTAAATGCAGTATCCCACGGACCATTTACCGTATTGGAGATCGTGGCTCCGATATATCAATTGAAAAACTGGGGTTATGAGAAAAACAAAAACAACAACTGGTTCGCTGGCCTCGTTAACACACATGTCGTTTGCAAGCGCTCATTGCGCTGTACCTAACTAGTATTTTTAAACACCAGGAACCCTAGAAAAAGATCAGTCAGTCAGGACTCAGTAGTAAGTATACCGTGACAAAAATTCAAGGTAATGAGCTTACATCTCCACTCCTAATCTCCCGAATCACCCCTCTCGGCCCTCTCCTTGTTTTCTTGTAAAATTCGATTAGATCAACCTTGGTCCTTGATCTGCTGTCAAAATGATATGTTACCATGGCAGGGAAATGACCAAGTGAACCAACCGATGTAAAGGGGGTAAATTGAGAAGGAAGGATTGAAGGTAACTACAACCTTAGTTAGAAGAAAAAAAGTTACGGCGCTTTCCTGCATAATTTGCGAGTCACTTATGACTTTCTAACATGAATACCTAACCCTCTTTCTGATTACTCCGTGGATTTGGGACTGTGGCTAAGGTCGCACTATAATCTTTACCTCGCTGAATCTCTCAATCTCAGATCTCTGCATTTCTGCATTTCTGCATTCACACTGCAACGGTACCGGCCGGTACTATTTACATTTCCCTCGGTTTCCCACTTCATCACGTATTTACCTCCCCACAATTGAGACCCAAATATGGAGTAGCTCAAAATATATATATTCTAGACGCTAGACGCTTGGTCGAATGACTTGTCCAAAATTCCTGTGATCCCCGAAGCTATCCCTCATTATCCACAGAGGAGTAAAAAAAACCCTCCTTCAAACCCATAACTCATAAGGGCCATAACACACAACCCACAACTTTACCTTTTGCTAATTCCTGGGGTTATTCCTGGACCCGAGTCCCCTTGAAATTGGAATAAAATTTAACTTGGATATATCATCTTGTTCAATTCACGACGGAAGGTTATTCTTCGCGGACTTCACGGTCCTGCCAAGCATATTTGAAGTTAAGCTCTATGTAAAGCTTCGTAGTGCTCTTTGATTGATGACATAAAATCAATGATTGGAGCGCCTGCATTTTTAGATTGTGAAATGGTGAGACTGTGAACCTGTGAGACTGTAAAAACAAGACTTTGCCAACGGGTAGTGACTCTCAAGTAGAAATCCGAAAAGCTTCTAATTTCCCCCCTAGTCTCATCTTCAACGGCTTCGCTTCCGAAATCATCTTAGATCATCTCAATGCGCCAATGCGAGCCACGCTGACGACAACATTCATGGAGAGAGAAAAAATGTCTTTATGGAGATTAAATATTGAATGTAACCTCAATTACCATCCATCCATCTTAAACCATCGATACTTCCGTGTCACTTCTTCAAATTGCCGACGACTAAACCAAACAGCAATGTTTCCTCCGAAACCTCAAGAAGCAGGCCTCGGGAAATTTCCGTCATTCTGAAATGTCCGAGATATTAACGTTTTGAGAAGTTGCGAAATAATGTGATATCTTCATCTCGAAATGATATTCAAAAATATTGTAGTAGATCACAGATCATAACGTCGTATTAGAGTTATTCCTTGACCTATATAACCATCAAATATGTGGATAGCGATACATCTCATCTAACATTCATCAATAATTGTGTGATTAAGTCGCGGGAAACCAGGTTGTCCATCGATCTTAATACTTGATTTATGCTTCGAATATATGATCTTAATCCCATAAATTGTAACTTCATATCCAAACATGTTCAAAATGTTGAAATTAAGTTGGGAAGAAATGCTGCATGGTAGGTAGGAGGAATCATATGAATTGAAATTACATTTTGGACTATTTGAAACCACTTCCCCGCAAAATGCAAAGCGCCACTCCACTTCTACCCAGCATCACAGATTCACAGCCTTTTGAACACACCACAAACACGTTTTTCTGTATATTACTGTGTGACCCTTTTTCAATGGTCTGTGTTCCCGAAGTGTCTGGGGTTCAGTAATTCAGCAATCTTCTCTGGGACAAAGTCGAGTCAGTTGAATGGTGCAGATACGAATCAACTACCGCGATTTGATTAATCGTGATACGAGGTATGACATTATCCGTCTCGTCCCCTCTTGTGTAATCTTCATACCACGGATGAGGATGCTACTCACGTATCCGTTTACAACTTTACAGGATAGCATCACTCCCGAATCACTCCCGAAGATCTACATATTATGGGCCGATCCAAAGTATATTATAAAATCGAGTTGCCAAATACCCATCCCCCAGCACGCTTGACGCTTCAAGGAGTAGCATCTCCGTCATGCAGGAGACATCCATTAATCGTGACTCGTAGCTCAACAGTAAGATGTGTGTATGATGCTCCATGTAGTATTCGGATAACCTGCGTCGGACAACATGGCATTGGTCAATTCAGGGTCTATCGTCTGAAGTTTCCTAATATAAATCGGGACAATACATCCGTATACCTAGGTACAAGATACATATCACATCTCTTTCACGCGCCAGAGATGCCCAACTTTCATGATCTGCCATTTTGTTTGTCTCATATCACTAATCATGTTGAGACGAGATTGGTGCCAAAGCTCATATGGAGGTACTGGAAAGAGTACATCTAGACAACAGAGGCTCATAAGCATGATCATGATTAACTACCCAGTGCACCACCTCCTCTGTAACACTACCACTAAATGTCCGAATCAGGCAGAATGGAAGACTTCAATCCGCTTATTACAACAGTTTTGGTGACTCATCTACTACCTCTCCTAGTTCCCCAAGAATTGAGGAATAGACATACAGAAAGAGGACACACTATACTCTCAACCAAAAATGCCAAGTTACATACAGGTGACTTGCCGACTATTGCAAGCAACTCAAGAAAAAGCCCCTCCCAGAATTTACATCTCTTCTTATACGTGAGTATCGTAGAACGGAATCTTTCCATTCAGCTTAACATATGATAGACGGCACGTATATGAAATGGGTCCGACGTCCCGTGTATTATGATTCACACTCATTTCAACGATTAATTCAAACAAGAAGATGCCACGGTCGGTTCGGTCCGCCACCCTCTCTCCGCAGTGATTTGAACCCACTTCAACAACCCCCGGTGGGACAATTACTGACATCACAAGTATATTGGCATTTCCTCCTCTTCTTCTTATTTTTTTTCTTTCTCTTCGACGAGACCTCAACAGATTTACACTTGGATCCAAGCCATTGCCTTGGGTATCGATTTTGTATCCATCTTCATCTTAAATTTTGTCAATAATTTATCAACTAAGGGTACATTCATTTATTTATTAATGCTCTCAGACAATTTACTTTTCCCACCAATCTCAAGTTAAGTACTTGCAGATTTTACAAATTAATAGAATAACTTTTATTAAATTTGCATACGCATGTCATCTTGGATAATACCCCATATTTCCCCAGATTTATGCACTTCGCGTGGCTTCAGCTATTGTCAAGGTCTTGTCTCAAATAATGTAGTTATTCCCTAATAGGGATGAGGTCTACATCTACCTGCCACTTACGAACCTCGTGATCAATATCTTACTACATGTATTTTACCTCAGAATTAGTGTTTTTATAGCTGTAGTACAGTAAATTTTAGCTTCTATGTATGTAGGATACCACTAGGTATCTGATGATCTGATAATTCTTTGAAGGGTCATTGATTGGATTTCAGCCTCAAGTCTTACGCAATTCCCATCTCACGTCTCCGTCCCTTGTATCTTAAGTCGGGATCAATTTGAGTTTTTACTTGCGAAAGACACCCAGGTCGTGTTAGATGATCAGTGTGAAAGGATATTATCGACTACCTCGTTCAATTTCAATTTATCCTGCATTTGAGATACTTTGACGGGTATTTTTGATTTACAAAGTTGATGAGGTTCACTAGCTCCTAGAACAATACCTTGCTGTCAGATTTATGGTTGGATTGCTGTGCAATGTGCCAAAGATAAACATTAATTCTTCAAGTCAAGTGACTGTGTCAAAACTACCTTACTCATAATGTTGGCATTTAATCTTGGGTCACTATGGGAGCGAGAGAAGCCCATTGCCGCTTTCTTTCCCCCAAGGTTTAAGCTCTCGCTCTGGTATTAAAATCGGTTGAATTTTTTAACTAGCAAAGAATATCAAATAATGTATTTTTCAGACCATGATTGTTCATATCACAGGAGTTGCATCAAAATGATGAAATTTGAATGACGCTGGCCGTGAACCTAAGCGCAACATCGCCGACCAGCTGTTATGCCAGTGCCATATTCGCTACTATTTGAGAATCACTAAATTTCAAATAGAAAGAAATCTGACGATGAAGCGCAGTAGAGGCGTAATTTCAAGAGCGCGGGTAAGGAGAGTAATTTCGCCTGGAACTCGACTTCATTTTTGTGTCCTACCCGTTTCCCCCTCGACATCCCGAGGGCCTTAACACGTCAAATACTCAAAATTTACTGGAGGGAGATCATTGCAATAACTCAGGGCTGTACATTTTCAATGGTGTGATTTCTATAATTGAAGGAACTGCAAGTGACAACCATTCACCTCTTGATTCAAACCCTCGAATTGACGGACCGATGCGCCTTTAAATTTCGTTCGATATCATTCATCATTTTCTTATACTTCACCGAAGTTCTTCAATAGTCAAGAATAACCTCGCGTGTTTTTCGGAAAGTTCATAGAGCATCATAGTCCTCAAATTCAAGAAGATCGCCGATTGCGCGCGTGTGATTCACTTTGTTGGCCGTCGACTGAGCTCAACTCTTATCTTTGACACGAGGCTCATTCTCTCTCATTTAACCATCAGCTCGTTCTCTTTATAAGTATCTAAACCGGCCATGGCTATTTCTGTTCAACATAATGCCGGAGTGATTGACGGTCCATTCCTAGATCAAAATATTCCAAAATTTGAAACTCTGCACCCAAGCAGAAAAGTCTCAAAGTTAATTACGGTGCTTAACGAGCGGAAAGTGAAAGGAGAGACTTAGATCGGGATGGTGGAAGGGATTAAGAAGTTTGGCACAATAGCTAGCCTTCATTATTTGTATCTTTTACGAGCGAGAGAGAGATTCAATAGAGTTGGCTTGTTAAGTCGGGGTGGAGGAGAGAGAGCGGAGGAGGG